TTTTGATTTATTGTAGAGATGAGGTCTCGCTGCCCAGGCGGGTCTCGAACCCACGGGCTCAGGCAATCCACTCACCTCAGCCTTCCAAAGGCGCAGGATTACAGGCTGAGCCACCGAGCCCGGCTCCATCTCTCTTTCTTTTAGAAAACTTTCTGTTGTTGCAAACTCCTAGGAAGTAGATCTGAAGTCATACCTGTATTTGAATATCTCATATTACATACATAGTTCTCATATACAAAGCTGATATTTGAACATTTTCTTCTGCTCCTCCCCAGATTCTGTTCCAACCTCAGACAGGTGCCTATCAGAACCTGGCCAAAGAGTGTGTGGCCCAAGGATGCTGTGTAGATCTCTTCCTCTTCCCTAACCAGTATGTGGATGTAGCCACGCTCTCTGTTGTGCCCCAGCTAACAGGTGGCTCTGTCTACAAATACTCTTGCTTTCAGGTATGGTGTGGGATTCTGGATGGCAGGTGGCAGCAGGGCAGGGAATATATGTTTACATGTGGAGTGACTCTTTAGCTGCTGACTCATTAATAGGAATAGTGTTGGAAGAGAAGATCACATCATGTCAAGAAGTGAGCCGCAAGAGTAAAGCAGTTGGGAGCATGGGCTTGGAATCAGTTGTGGGTTGATATTCTGGCTCTGTGACCTGGGATGAGTTCCTTAATTACTCCTTCCTTTGTTTCTTCAACTGTAAAATTAGGTTTTAATACTTATTAATTAGGCATTGTCTATAGAATTAAGTAAGTATATGTAAAGCACTCAGTGTGGTACCTGGCATGTAGTAAGTGCTTACAAGCTATTATCATCAATATCATCATCATCATCTTCATTGTTACTATTACTATTATGATTAGGCAGCCTTGTAGAGTTGAAGGGGTGCAGGGATATTGTCTGCAAGATGAGCTATGTGTAGTCAGTGATGTGACTCTAGGCTTGGGGGACTGCAGGTGGAGCATGACCAGGAGCGGTTCCTGAGTGACCTGCGTCGTGACGTCCAGAAGGTTGTTGGCTTTGATGCTGTGATGCGGGTCCGGACGAGCACTGGTCAGTTCTGGCTGGGAAAGAGCGGGTGAGGGGGCTAAATCTGGGAGGGAGGCATGTGGGACCTGTCATAACTTCAGCTGACGTTGTCCATGTGGCCTCAGGTATCCGTGCTGTAGATTTCTTTGGCGCTTTCTATATGAGCAACACAACAGATGTGGAGCTGGCTGGGCTAGATGGGGACAAGACGGTGACTGTGGAGTTCAAGCATGATGATCGGCTCAATGAAGAGAGTGGAGCTCTCCTACAGGTGGCAGGCAGAGGAAAGGGTGGGGTGGAAGTGTTAGGTGTCATTCACTGGGTATAAATAGGCTTTGGGGAAGAAGGTGAGAAGTGGGTGGAGAGGACTGGAAGAAGAGGGTGAGCAGGAGAGAGGCTCATTTTTCTTCCAGCTTAATAATATAGCAAAGGGGCAGTTTCTCAGAGGACTTTTGTGAGGGAGGGTATGAGTTCCCCCTTTCTCCCTTACCCCTAGTGTGCCCTGCTTTACACCAGCTGTGCAGGGCAGCGTCGGCTCCGCATCCATAACCTGGCCCTGAACTGCTGCACCCAGCTGGCTGATCTGTATCGAAACTGTGAGACTGACACACTCATCAACTACATGGCCAAGTCTGGTGAGGGTAGAGGCAGGGCAGGGTGGGATTGGGGCTTAGAAAAAGGTTCAGCATGGTCAACGGGTAGGTGTGATGCTAGGAAAGCACATGCAGTGAGTGACTGGCCAGTGACTGTATCTCCCTTTCTTGTCCAGCATACCGGGGAGTCCTGAACAGCCCTGTGAAGGCTGTTCGTGACACTCTCATCACCCAGTGTGCCCAGATCCTGGCTTGTTACAGAAAGAACTGTGCCAGCCCATCCTCTGCAGGACAGGTGGGGCAAACATATTTAGTTGGGGGTTGTTGGGATACATTTTTGCACCTGGGAGGGATTTCTCATGATCACTGACTTTATCTTGATAAACTCCTTAGTTGATCCTTCCTGAGTGCATGAAGCTACTCCCAGTATACCTGAACTGTGTGTTGAAGAGTGATGTCCTGCAGCCTGGAGCTGAAGTCACTACTGATGACCGTGCCTATGTCCGACAGCTAGTTACCTCCATGGATGTGGCTGAGACCAATGTCTTCTTCTACCCTCGGCTCCTACCATTGGTGCGATCGATAGTTGGAATATGAAACATTGCACTGGGTAAAAGGCCTCTTAGGAGGAGGAAAGAGGCTAGGCACCGTGGCTCATGCCTGTAATTCCAGCACTTTGGGAGGCCAAGGCAGGAGAATTGCTTGAGCCCAGGAGTTTGAGACCAGCCTGGGCAACATAGTGAGAGCTCGCCTCTATGAAAAAAAAAAAAAATCAAAAAATTAGGTGGGCATAGTGGTGCATGCCTACAGTTCCAGCTGCTTGGAAGGCTGAGGCAGAAGGATCATCTGAGCCCAGGAGGTCAAGGCTGTGGTGAGCTGTAATCTTGCCACCGCACTCCAGTTTGGGCAACAGAGTGAGATTCTGACTCAAAAAAAAAAGAGGAGGAGGAAAGAAAGGGTTAATACTATCTATGTCTGACACCAATTTATTTGCTTTTATGTATATTATCTGATGTAGTTTTCTTTTTTTTGAGTTGGAGTCTCACTCTGTCACCCAGACTGGAGTGCAGTGGCCG